CAAATTGGCTGGCTCTAAGACAGGATGGTATGTGGAGGAGGAGCAACAGTCCATGGTGGTAGAAGATAGCAAAAGCAACAAGAGCAAAAAGGAGGAAACAATCCTCTCTCTTCCCCTTTTATTTTATCTTTTTTTTTTTTTTTTTGGCTGACTCAGGCCACCCTGAGGGCAGAGTTGGCACAGCATGTGGTGCTGGGGATCAAACCTAGGTCTCCTGCACTTGCCTAAGCTTGCCTAAGCAGGCGCTTTAGACCACTGAGCTATCTTGTGGACCCTTCCCCTTTTATGTTATTCAGACTTCTGGGATTAGAGTGGTTCCAATCAAATCAGTGCACTGATCCAGCAACCACCTACCCTTAATCCCAACATCCTCAGTTCCAATTCTAGATTCAGCTATTTCTAAGAGATCCCCATCTAAAAGTTCATGAGGATTTATGGTTACATCCAGACACAAACCTAACATTCCACCCATGGCCCCCACAAAGTCTCATGAAAATTCTTTTATGCACAAAGCATTTAATTTATCTCTGAGTTGCAAAAGTTCTAACAGTTTCAGTATTGCTGAAAAGTTCAAGTTCCACGTCTCCTCTCAGATCTAAAGCAAACTTTTAACTGTGAGGTCTTGTACATATGAAAAAAAAAAAAGTTAAATATTTCCAACATTCAATGGCACATGATAGACATTTGCATTCCAAAAATTACAAACAGGGAGATACAAAGAAATGAGACTAAAGGAAGTCCAAAGTCCAGAAGGGCAAGCATTAAGTCCTGTAGTTCCCTGTGCAGTATCTGAGGCAATCTGTGACAAGATGTAAACTCCAAAGAGCTCGGCTGGCTCTGCCACTGTGACACTTCTGGTGGTTGTTGCTCCCATAGCTTCTCTCTAGAGCCAGGTCTGATCTCTTGCAGTTTTCCTCAGATGAACCTGGCTTCTCCAAACCTCTTGGATCTCCACCTAACCTTCAGCTTCACACACACAACTTCACACACTGCCCTCTCAGAGGAACACTGCCTGGCTTCTGAGGCCTTCTGAAATCTGGATGTAAGTCTTCCTGATCCCGCAACTCTCCCGTTTCACATGTATCTAAAAATAGTGCCACATGGATGTTGTCTATTGCCAGCTAGAGCAGTGGCCAGGCTTCTCTCTCTCTTGGCAGTAGGGATTGAGTGCCTGGATCATTGGATACTCTGAATCCAATTCTGAGGAACAAATTTTCTATGCTTTTACCATTCTGGAACATGATTCTATTAGCTTTCTTCTCAAAGCATAATCTTTCACTTTTGCAATTTTGAGGCTATAAAAGCTGGAGTCTGCTTCTTCTTGTGATGTCTTCAGGCTATCTTTTCTATTCTCCTGTTCCTTCTCATCAATTAAGATATCCCTTGCTCTATCTTTGGAGACCACACCTTTACTGTAGCTTCCCTTCTGGCCAAACTCACAATGTTTTAAATCATTCTTCTCGGCTCTTTGCTCTTGATTTTCATAAGTCTCTAAAAGCCCTCAACAGTATGTATACCACTGCCTCCACTTTTGACTGCCTTGAAATTTCTTCTGAAACCTTAATTAGTCTGCTTCCCTTAATCTTGGTCTTAGGCAAGGTCTCTGGACTTGAACAAAGTGCAATGAAACTTTATGCCAACCCATCACATACATCATCTGGAGTCCAACTACCAAAAGAGAAATCATTTTTTTTCATCAGAAACCTCCTTTACCTGTTTTTTTTTTTAAAATCAGCTTTCTGTTCTTCTGAGGTCTGACCAGAATATCCCATACAGAACAACATTCATCTCTCCTTTTTTAGTTGGCATCTCTGGACATTTCCGATCTCTTCCCACCAGCCATTCTTAAAGGCTCCTGAACCGTATGCTTAGGTATAGTCACAGCATAAACCCCACTTCTGGTACCAAATTCTATCTTAGTTACTTTTCTCACTGGTGAGACAAAATGCCTGACATCCAAAGTTAAAAGAGTTTATTTAACTCACAGTTTGGAGAGGTTCCAGTCCATAATTGTCTGGCTCCAAAGCAGGGTGGCATATGGTAGAGGAGAAACAGTTCACAATGGTGGAAGACAGCAAAAGCAACAAGAGAAGAGGAGAGAAAAGGTCTCTTTCTGTTTCTTATATTGTATGCAGGCTATCTGCCTTAGGGTGTGTATTGCACTCACAACCTTAATCCAAGCTTTGGACTGTGAGTCAATCACAAACTCTAGATTCATCTACTTCTGAAAAGCCCACCACTTATGACTACATGAGCCTTTGGTGAGGCATCTAGACACAAACCACAACTGTATACTTTCAGCAGAACTTTTAATTTCCTGAATTGCTATTTGAGTCTGTTGTTTTGGACTCTATTATGTTTCTATGTTGGACATTCAGTTCCCGTATCTTTCCTAAGCTGCTCTATTTTGTAGAAAATCTGTATCTACTCTAGATTCACTCATCATTTCCTTCATTATGATCATCATTTCCTGTCTGTGTAACTATTTCTGTTTTGGCTTTGGCAAGATATTTATTCATGTGTTTTACTTTTGTTGCTACCATTTTAGAAAGTTCAGTTGGGTGGCTTTTATTTATTTCATTTCAATGTTCTCTGGATTTGTCTTGGACAAAGACAATTCTTTGGTACTGGACTGTATGTAGTATTATTGATGACCCCCCCTCCCAACAATCTAGATACTGGCATACAAGAAAAATAAATTGGGGGCCTGCCTCTTAGCTCAGTTCTTTAAATGGTTGCTTCAACAAAAAAGGCTCAGGTTGCTGTGGTTCGATCCCCAGGACTCAAACCTGCCCTGAAGATATTTGGAGCCAGCCAAAAAAAAAAAAAAAAAAAAAAAAAAAAAAAAAAAAGGAAAATAAATTGATTGCAACAAGTATGTCAACTTGGATAACATAGTACAGTCAGTAGTAACAATGGTGTCAAACACTGTACTTTTTTTTTTTTTAACTGGGGATCAAACTCAGGCCTTCACATCATGCAGTTGAGCTATATTTCTAGCCCTGTACTATTAATTTAGCAAATTTAACAATAGGTACAAGGTTTATAGTTATATAATAAAGTCTAAGACAATCAGAAAATTATATATAGTAACTATCCACTCAAAAGAACTATTTTCCCAGGCATGTTGGTACATACCTGTAATCCTAGCACTTGAGAGGTTGAAGCAGGAGCATCACCATTAGTTTGAGGCTAGCTCAGACTACAGAGAAAAATACTGTCTCAAAAAAAAAGAAAGGTTTTACTCTAAGGTGAGAAAATTTAAAATGCAGAAGAAGAAAAAATAGATAAAAGAAGACAAAGAGATTAGAAGCAAGGGTGAAAGAGAAAAGATTATCCAAGCCTCCGTAAACTGATGAAGGAGGAAGGAAAGAAGAAAAAAAAAGAGAGAGAGAGAGAGAGAGGAGAACAAAACAAACAGAAAAACTAAAAACCACGTTCATTCTTGAAAAACAAAAAAACTCAATTAAATCTCCTCCTCCCCCTGGGAGGCTATAGTTTGCACACCTATAATCCCAGTACTTAAGAGACTGAGGCAGCAAAATCACCATGAATTCAAGGCCAACCTAGGCTACATAGTAAGTTTATGGCCATCCTGAGACACATAGTGAGACCCTGACCACCACCCCCATCAGAGAGAGAGAGAGAAGAGAGAGAGAGAGAGAGAGAGAGAGAGAGAGATTTTTTACTGTGATTTCAAGCCTGTAGCTATCTTCTGGGTTCTACAGTTTTCTGGCCATGTCCAATTCAAGATGTGACTCCAATCTCACTAAAAGACAAAGAAGGCAGTCAGCGCTAAGATCCTTGATGGATAATCACCAGCAAGTTGATGGTAGTATTGGGGTGGCTTATTGGTTCTAGGACTTTCAAATCCCTAGGTGTTCAGGCTGAACCTGAACTCTGGTCATGGGGCTGGAGCCTAACTCATTTAGCTTATAACATTTTGGGTGTCTCTTGCCAGCCTGACCATGGTTCCTTAATCACAGATGTCTCCCATGCTTGTTTCTCACCTAATCACTGGGAAGTTTAACACTGGAAGCTCTGAAATAAATCCAGTCTATGTCTGCTCTGAGTCCTGGGCTCAGTTGGCCCCTCTCTAGAATGGCATCTGACCATGTACTCTCTTTAGGTTACTGGGACTGAAGTCCTTCACCAGATAATATAGTGGCCAGCATCCGTGGTTCCAGTCTGTGGGGGCATTTCTCCCTGAAGATCTCTGGAATTGCCCATTTTCACTGTGTCTTTGTAGATTTTTATCTGCTTTTCTCACACCATGAGCCAGGATCCAGGAGCCAGGCGAAAGTATAGATTGTCCCTTCCTTCGTCTGCATTGTGGTCTATCTCTTCAATATCTTTCTAGGCTCCAATAATCCCTTCAGATCTTTCCTGGGTCCCAAGAATCAGCCTCCCTCTTTCTTGTATTCCTGCAGTTGTTATTTTCCAGTGTCTGAATTCTGAATTTTGGAGGGGCTGATTTGTTACTTACTGCTCTGCCATCTTCTTGGATGTCTTCTCTTTCTGTGATAGAAGTCAGTGAACTTCAATTTGTCCCATGGATGACAAGAGTCAAGGTTTCCCATCTCCACTTTGAGGGATCTCCTTGAAACCTGTCCAGTGACATTTCTTTGGGTGAGAAAGCTATAGGAGATAAAGAGACATGGGGAGTATGCATCCTGTGCAGGAGGAGGGCTCTGAGATGGTGTGGGTGCTACAGCCATCCTAGGGAGTTGTAGCCTACTTACAATCCAAGGGATCCCCACCCCTTTTGCTCTTTTGCTGTCTTCTGCCACTCTGAACTGTAGCTCCTGTACCATGCCACCCTGCCTTGAAGCCAGCTGATTACAGACTGAAATGTCCACAAACTGTGAGCTAAATAAACTTTTTCTCCTTCAATTTTGACTGGTATTTTGTCTCAGCAATAAGAGAAAAGTAATCAATACACCCAGTCTCATGGGTTAGCAGAGATGGATTTTTAAAATCAAATTGGGACAGGCCTCGCGCCGCCGCCCGCCGCGTGAGAGGACTGGGTTCACGCGCTCCGCGGCAGCGCGGTCCGACCCCCTCCCCCCCGGAAGGTTCGCGAAGGAGAAGCCGCCGCCGTCAAGGGAGAGCCGCCGCCGGCGCCGGTCCCTGGGGGCGCCATGGCTACCGGAGCGAATGCCACGCCGCTGGACTTCCCAAGTAAAAAACGGAAGAGGAGTCGCTGGAACCAAGATACAATGGAACAGAAGACAGTGATTCCAGGAATGCCTACAGTTATCCCACCTGGACTTACTCGGGAACAAGAAAGAGCTTATATAGTGCAACTGCAGATAGAAGACCTGACTCGTAAACTGCGCACAGGAGACCTGGGCATCCCCCCTAACCCTGAGGACAGGTCCCCTTCCCCTGAGCCCATCTACAATAGCGAGGGGAAGCGGCTTAACACTCGGGAGTTCCGTACCCGCAAGAAGCTTGAAGAGGAACGGCACAACCTCATCACAGAAATGGTTGCCCTCAACCCTGATTTCAAACCACCTGCAGATTACAAACCTCCAGCAACACGCGTGAGCGATAAAGTAATGATTCCCCAAGATGAATATCCGGAAATCAACTTCGTAGGCCTGCTAATTGGACCCAGAGGGAACACCCTGAAGAACACTGAGAAGGAGTGCAGTGCCAAAATCATGATCCGGGGGAAAGGATCTGTGGAAGAAGGCAAGGTTGGACGAAAGATGGTCAGATGTTGCCAGGAGATGAGCCACTTCATGCTCTCGTCACTGCCAATACAATGGAGAATGTCAAAAAGGCAGTAGAGCAGATCAGAAACATTCTAAAGCAAGGCATTGAGACACCAGAGGACCAGAATGATCTACGGAAGATGCAGCTTCGAGAATTGGCTCGCTTGAATGGCACCCTCCGGGAAGATGACAACAGGATCTTAAGACCCTGGCAGAGCTCAGAGACCCGCAGCATTACAAACACTACAGTGTGTACCAAGTGTGGAGGGGCTGGACACATCGCTTCAGATTGCAAATTCCAGAGACCTGGTGACCCTCAGTCAGCTCAGGATAAAGCACGAATGGATAAAGAATATTTGTCCCTTATGGCTGAATTGGGTGAAGCCCCTGTCCCAGCATCTGTGGGGTCCACTTCTGGCCCTGCCACCACACCCCTGGCTAGTGCACCTCGGCCTGCTGCTCCTGCCAACAACCCACCTCCACCGTCTCTTATGTCCACCACGCAGAGCCGCCCACCCTGGATGAACTCTGGCCCTTCAGAGAGTCGGCCCTACCATGGCATGCATGGAGGTGGTCCTGGTGGGCCCGGAGGTGGCCCCCACAGCTTCCCACACCCATTACCCAGCCTGACAGGTGGGCATGGTGGACATCCCATGCAGCACAACCCAAATGGACCCCCACCCCCTTGGATGCAGCCGCCACCACCACCGATGAACCAGGGCCCCCACCCACCTGGGCACCATGGCCCTCCTCCAATGGATCAGTACCTGGGAAGTACGCCTGTGGGCTCTGGGGTCTATCGCCTGCATCAAGGAAAAGGTATGATGCCGCCGCCGCCTATGGGCATGATGCCGCCACCGCCGCCGCCTCCCAGTGGGCAGCCCCCGCCCCCCCTCTGGTCCTCTTCCTCCATGGCAGCAACAGCAGCAGCAGCCTCCACCACCCCCTCCGCCCAGCAGCAGTATGGCTTCCAGTACCCCCTTGCCATGGCAGCAAAATACGACGACTACCACCACGAGCGCTGGCACAGGGTCCATCCCGCCATGGCAACAGCAGCAGGCGGCTGCCGCAGCTTCTCCAGGAGCCCCTCAGATGCAAGGCAACCCCACTATGGTGCCCCTGCCCCCCGGGGTCCAGCCGCCTCTGCCGCCCGGGGCCCCTCCCCCTCGGCCGCCTCCGCCACCTGGTTCCACCTGCATGATGTATGCCCCGCCCCCTCCTCCGCCTCCCATGGACCCTTCTAACTTTGTCACCATGATGGGCATGGGGGTGGCGGGCATGCCGCCCTTCGGGATGCCTCCAGCTCCCCCACCGCCTCCACCACAGAACTAGACTCTTTTTTAAGAAAATATATATTATATATAGAAAGAATTGGTCTCGTTTAAACACGCCGAACCTCACCATATGGAGCCAGACATTGGGACGCATGCATGTGATTGTGTGTGCATGCATGTGTGTGTGTTCACGCACTGAGCTGGGCCAAGCGACCAAGGACTCGCTTGGGAATGGGCAGGTGGTAGTAGGGGCGCCAGTTTGGGTTCTCCTGGCGCCCCGTAGCATCGAGTGTCTTCTTTGTCTTTCTCTCCTCACCCAACTCCCTTTGCCTCTCCCCAAACTGGGCCGCCAGGATCCCTTCCCGCGGCGGCGATGGCCCGAGCCATGAGAGTGAGGACTTTCCGCTCCCATTGGTGACCCTTCCAGGCAGACAGCCTCAGCAGCGCCCCTGGTGGACAGGATGGTTCGGCAAAGCAGCCTGAGTTATTTTTGTTTCTTTTTCCTTTGTTACTTTCTTATCTCTTACTTTCTTCAGACTCCGTCCAAGGAGGTGCTTTCCCCGATCTTCTGCTGCAATTAGAATCCTTTCCCTTCACTCCATTCTCCCTCCCCTGCCAAGGAGAGAGGAGCATATGGTTTTAGGCACAGGCTTCAGCCTTAATGTCAGGCTACTTGGGCAGGTGATGTCCTTTGGTTCTAAGTTTTTCCAGGGACCATAGCCAGCCCCAGAGATGTTCGTCTTTTTAAAGTATGGGGTTTGTCTTTGTCACTCTTGTCTAAGTTGCCTAGGGCTGGTTAACTGCCAGGCCCAGCACCTGCATCCATCCAGCATTCCTGCCAGCGGTAGGTGGTACAGCCCAAGCCACCTTGGACCTGCCGGCTCAGAGTCATTTCTGTGCTCTGACCACCTAAGCTGCCAGATTCCATTTGTTCCTCTCCTTCCTGGAAGGCTTCCTTTACATTTTATTTTAATCCCAAATTTCTGAATGTTTTGCAGTGTCAAGGGCTTTGAGCCCCTTGTTCCTCTTTCTGTTCCCCACCCTTCACCCTTCATGGAGTGATTATGTTAATGATGTGTAACGTGCGTTCTCTTCACTGGTTTATCTGCAGAACTTCTCTGGGCTTTTTTTTTCGGTGTTTGATTCAACACTGCACTAAAGAGGGGATGTTCCATTGAATAAAAGAGCAGTGTGGTTAAAAAAAAAAACTCAAACTGGGACAGAAGGAGGAGGAGGAGGCCTGGGGTGGGTTATGAAATAAATATCACACTGCCTCAAATTTGTGCACATGTGGAAGGGAAAGCTAAAAGTTCCAGTTGTCAAGGGGGAGGGGGTGAGGTTGGTTGTAATACTGAAGGACTATCTTGGCTAAGAAGGGTGAATTTTTTGTTTAGTTTAGAAGACTACAACCAGGTGTATTGAGGCATTTGCATTTTGTGGCACCTCATGGGCTAGGGGAGTGTCTTTTGGGGGTTTCTTTTCCCTGTTTTGGCAATATTCAGATGTGGCAGCATTTAGACCACCCTGGAAGAAAGCGTATCCAGGTACCCATAAAAGAATACTCAGATTGTTAAAACTGGTAATCACAAAGAGGGAGGAGATGGATAATAGCTTTGCAGAGATAAGGGTCTGAAGAGCTGACTGGGGTAAAGTCATCTTGTTTGATTGGAGAAATGCACAGAGGGGCAGATGGGTTAGATGGAATCTATTTTGGGAAGGACTGGTTATGGCCTGCTATAGCAGTTAGCGAGCCTTAAGGCCTATCTGATACCCCTCTAATGACCCCCAGTATCTGTCACATCCTTCAGTGAGGGCTTAAGCAGTTTTGGCTGACAAGCATGAAGTACTGCCCTGCAGAAGTGTGTATCTATGTTCCAAGGGGAGCAGGGATTACTGCATCTGCAATCTGGTAAAGATAGAAACAGACCAGCAGGGTGGTTGGGTGGTGTTATGGTTTGTGTCTACATAAAAAGCTTCATGCAGTCATAGGTGGGGCTTTTTCAAAAGTGCCTGGATCTAGAATGTGTGACTGATTCATGGTACAGTGCTTAATAGGGTTATGGGTGGGTGATTACTAAATCAGTCCACTGATTGGTTTGGTACCAGCCTGATCTTGGTAGCCTGGATACCATAGAAGGGACAGGAAGAGGCTTGTCTTGTCCCTGCTTGCTTTGCTACCTTCTGCCCACTGTAAACTATTTTTCCTCTTTGATGCCTATTTGCCATTCCACCCTGCCTTGGAGCCAGCTGATGACAGACTGAACCCTCTACAAACTGTGAGCTAAATAAACTTTTCCTCTCTTAACATGTGTTGGGAATTTTGTTTCAGCAATGAGAAAAGAAACTAAGACATGTGGTTCCACTAAAGGTTTGAATGATTTTATCAGTGTGAGTGTCTGCTTGAAATATCTAGGAAGGATCTATGGTGCGGGCTTAGGGGTTAGGAGGGTGAGTAATATTGAGAAAGAAAGGATCAGAGCAGGAGAACACAAGAAGTAAAGATGGTGATTTGTTCTGGGGAGAAATGTGGGCGGGCTCCCTATAGCCATAGGTCTTGAATTATATTGTTTAGAGAGAAATAAGGTAGATAATGAAGAGAATTCTTCTATTAGGATAGTCAAGAAGTGAGCAAAGTTATGAAGAGAGAGATTCATGGGGCTGTCCAGCTGTGTCTTTGACCTATTGTCATAGGAGACAGCCTGGTCATCTTCAGGAACACAGGTTCAGCTGGCATGCACTGGAAAAGGGGGTCTTTTTTAGAAAGAAGTGGACCCAGAAGAAATGACCTTCTAGGAGCCGGGGAGATGGCTCAGTGGAAGAAGCGCTTCCTTGGCAAGTGAAAGGGCCTGAGTTCAATCCCTGGTTCTGAAAAAAATAAAAAATAAAAAAAATAAATGACCTTCTAATTTTGCCACTATTGGGGTGGTCAGGATTACTTGAAAGGGCCCTGTCCACTTTGGTTTTAAGCCTTGTGAAAGGTTTGGTGGATTTATATATAGCCAGTCTACAGGTGATGGGGTGGAAGAGTGAGGGTGTCTAGACTGCTGCAGGGATTAGGAAGGGTATAGTCAGCACAGTTCTAAATGAGATGCCTAAAGGAGTTAAGTAAGGGATTTGAAAAGGGGGAAGATAGGAATGGATTGGAGGTAGGGAATGTGAAGTCAACAAGGGTGATTTCAGTGAGTAAGATATGCGCTCATGTGGAGGATCTTTGGTTTGATGTAGGAAAGATCTCTATCCATCCTGAAGATAGGTATGGATTGGAGGTAGGGAATGTGAAGTCAACAAGAGGTCTTCCATACTGAATTTCAAAGGTGCTGAGCAGAATAGGTTTGCAGGGAAGAAACCTGAGTTTGCAAAGGGCTAAGGATAGGAGCTTAGTCCTATCTAAATGGGCCTGTAGGGAAAACTTGGTTAGGCTCTGTGTAAGGAGGTGACTAGCCTTTTCAACCTTACCTAAGGATTGGGGTCAATGTGGGATTTGGAACTTCCGGGTTATATTTAGGGAGGACTCTGTTGGGTGATGTGTGAGGTACATTCAAGTACATTATTGGGTTGGATAGAGGTTGGAAGGCTGAAGCCAGGGGTGATTTCAGTGAGTAGAATATGCGCTCGTGTGGGGGATCTTTGGTTTGATGTAGGAAAGATCTCTATCCATCCTGAGACGGTGTCAACTAGGACAAGGAGGTATCTTTTTATTTTTATTTTTTCACTAGAGGCATGTGGATAGAGTTTATTTGCCAGTCATTGTTGAAGAAGGCTCTTGAAATGGATGGGTGGGGAAGAGAAGAGATGTGAAGTTTCTCTGGGCACTGGTGGTTTGGCATAAGAAGCATGGGGTCATGAAGGTTTTCAGGAAGGGCCTAAAAGTAGGAGGAAGATGTATGTGAGTCTAGGAACTGGAGCAGGTGGAATGATCCAGCGCAGAACTGGTCATAGAAAGATGGAAAGAATTTTGCACATTTTCAGGAAGAACTAATTTTTCCACTTGTCATACCCCCCTGCTCTTTAAATAGAGGTTTCTTGGGGTGAGTAGGATGACATAAGGGGGAACAGAAAATGGAGAATGCAGAGAGTTGTTGGCTGCCTGTTTTGCTACTTTATCAGCCTCATAATCTCCACAAATGATACATCTGTGATGTTTATCCCATGAGGACTGGGCTTTTGTCTGTTCCTTGGGTGCTTTATCTGAGGTACTCATCATTGGCCTTTTTTTTTTTTTTTTTTTGCAGAACCGGGGATTGAACTCAGGCCCTTGCGCTTGCCAGGCAAGCGCTTGTTCTACTGAGCCATCTCCCCAGCCCCTTATCATTGGCCTATTTAGGTGCATGTTTTTCTATTCCTGCCAGGAGGCAAGTGATCATGTGATTGTGATCTGTCCTACCTGAGTTGCTAAGTCGATATGTCCACACGGGGTCTCAGGGTTTAGATCTGGCCATTCCTCGAGCTACTTCAATGTGCATGTCAGGATGCTGGTGATAAAGATTATCCATGTGGTTTTCAGCCACTTGCCAGATGCTCCCTTTTGTCATCAGTCAAGGTAGACAAGGAGTACAGTGAAATAAAGGTGCTGAGTCACTCCCTTCCCTTAGTTTACATGTAAATGCCATACCACCCTAATGATTAACCGTGCTTCCATAATCCCAAAACAGGAATGATGAGACGCACTTCGCTTCTCTCCATTCAGTGATAAACCAAATACCATGCTAATGATTTTCCAGGCTTCGCTTAGAGTGGCATGCAGGTTGCTGACATCAGAGAGGTACAGTGGAAGGCTCTTTGGATCAGTGGTGTCTGACCCTATAAGTACTGGAAGCTTGAGTTACTAAGTCCTGTTTTTTTTGCCCCATTCACACTCAAGTTGCTTTCTCCTTTCACCCTCAATCCTTTTTTTTCCTTCACCCTCTTTTTCCCTTAACCTATCTCCCTATTCTTGTGGCCATCCATGATAACATAAATGTAGCTACTCACTAAATCCTATGAGGTTACTTTACTGTTCCTTTCTTGTCATACACAAGAACCTGGGTTATATTTTGACCCACTCAACTGTAGCAGAAGAAGACAAAGTAAATATCTTCCTAAGGGAGGTCATATATTTGAGTGAGTAGGAGGAGTTCTTTTCCAAATCTATTGGTATTCTCTGAGAAGGACCCATTCTTTGTTGGAAATGTTCTAGATCTGTAGTTAAAGAAATGTGAACACAAACAGGCCCCTCTATGCCTGCTACCAACTGGAGGGGTAAGATGGGATGAGAAGAAGTTTGGGACAATATCAGTGGGAAGAAAGAGTGCAAGGGTGTGCTTTTTTTTTATTCAACATATTTGTTCAGTATATTTTTTTGAATTTTAGAGAAATATTTGAGATTAATACACAGCATGAGA